AATCATCATGATGCTCCGTAGATAACATAAGGACAGCCTTATTCTACCTAGATCTACAAGATCTAAGACGACTCCTTCGCCTTGTTTCTTTTCTGCTGTATTATTAATTTTTCCCATGTATGGTTGCATCTGCTGCCGCCCAAATTTTCAGACCATATTTATCTGGTTTACTTTTCATATAATTTCGAAATGAACAACGACCTATCAATCCGACTAGTCGTTCATCTACTGTAATATGGCTCCCGGGATTATAACACTTTTTGAAATTGTCCACAAACATGTTGAAAACTTCTCTTACCGGTGTAAGCTTATCAGTTTTCTTTCCGACTTCCCTAGTTTTGGAATCGTCAAAACGAAAAAAACTCGTCAGCAATTGAAAACGTGAGCGAGACATAGTTGCAGGAATAACTGGTTTTAGTCTAACTTCTCTTGGTACACCACAACATTACTATCGGTTCTTTTGAAGCCCGAAAGGCACCTAAGATCAAAATGAGGCCAATGTATGCCTTATTTCAACAGCATCTGTTGGCTTCAATATGCGTTGTAGAGGTCGTGTTTGATTTTGATATTTTTCATTCCAAAGTTTGAAAAATTGGACAGGAAAAGGTATTATTAGTGAATAATACCATATGTAATTCGATAACTTTACCTGTCCTGCCTATAAAATTATCTACCTTCTTCTAAGATTTCTTCACTTTCGTCAGTCTCTATCACACTGCTCACAGCACCAGTGTCATTTCCTTTGACTCATTTGAGCACCACCTACTATTATATCATCTTCAGAATCTGTTATTTCTGGAACATCATCACTATCTTCTTCACTATCACAGAGTTCCATGTCAGCATCATGGAGATTATTCAGTAACTCTTCTGACTCTAAATCGGTAAATTTATTTGGATTGCGAATATTTATTTTATCAGACATTGTGTAACATTTCACGCTGGCGTAATGATATTTACTGCATTGCGCATGACCGTGACTAATCAAAGTGAGTATCTTGGCATCTCATACAAGTATACCCTACATAAAAAATATTTTTTTTTGTTGACTTTTTTGATGCACGTCACTAACTAACTAAAATATACAGAAAATGAATCTGTAAATACTAAATGTCAATAAATAAAATTGCGGAACCCTTGTGTAAAGTTTTTAAAAAGACATAAGAAAAATTGAGTTGTTGGGGTACATACGACGAAGGATAAGCGTGTGATATACTTTACATTTTATTTTAACATTTCCAATAATTACATCTCTCATCTTATGTTATAACGTCTATTCAATGATCGTATATTTGAACTGTGGTGTAGAGTGTTGACGTGTAGACAAAATGGTGGCAATAAAATTGTTGGTGGCGGTAAAAAAGACGACTATAGTGCGAAAACAAAGGAAGAAGCTAAAAAATTTGATTCGCGTGGTTTGCTCCATGGCAAAATGTGTCCAGTAAAACACTGCATGCAACGTTTATTTCTAGGAATGGTAGAAGGCAAGCTAAGGCATGTCAGTAGTATCTCAGATAGTAGAAAAACCAATAAAGTCGGCACGCCGCCTCAGGCGATCCCACTTCTGACGGTACGCAAACTTAACCTCTAACCAAAGCCGGGCGCGCATAAAAAAAATACAATAGTCGGCGACACGAAGCGACTCTCGAAGATCGAATCCCGACGCCTCCCCCACCCCGCCGCCCACGGGGGTGGGGTTTACACGCGACGCGTCTGAGTCTTCCGCCATTGGTCGCCTCCGACTCCGCCCCCGGGGTGATTTCCGCGCGAAAAGCTAGGAAAAAGTCGCAGTCGATCATAAATGTGCGAGTTGACAGATTGATCGGGCTTTACGATTTTAGAGTCAGTTTTTCCGCGAACATGGGCGTTTAAAATATTCCGCGTTTCTCGATTTAAATTTCGGCGTCCGAAAAAATAACCACCATGTTGGATATTAAACCGTCGGCGGACTACCTGAGCCGGAGTTCCACGTTCGGACAGTTCTCCATGCTGTTTGGTAAATATTCGCCAGGGTCTCGGACAACTTTTTGCAAATGGCCGGACGTCGAGGATTTTTCGAAAGTTTCGTTTGAATATTGGCCTTTTTAGAAAACACCAGGGTACAGAGTGACGAAAAATATAAAGCGATGAAGATTAAATATGATCCTCGCTTCGTTAGTTCGAATTTTTCAAAATTCTTTACGAATTTGTACAAAAAATAATAACATTCCCAATACTCAGTGTTGTTTTCGGAAAGGTACGAGATGTCAAGGTAGACAAAAAAACAAAATGTAGGTTTGATAGCCAAGTATTTTTTTATATGGAACACCCTGTATATGTACGATTACAATAATGAAACACACTTTATATTTCCACTCAAAAATAGGAAATTTTTATCTAATTTCAAAGAATGCCGTGACTGGCTGCAACAACAATAATTATTTACAAATTAAGGTAGAACAAAAACGCTAAAAATGGCAAGACACACTAAACTAAAAACTTCTTTAACTATTCTGTATGCGACCACCATTTTCCTGAACACATTTCTCATACACTCTAATTGCATGAAGTCTTGAATTTAGAACCGTCTCCTAGCTGATTTATTGTCCCTGAAATCCTTTGCCGAAGTTCCACCACATCATTACAAGGAGTTTTATGCACGTGATTTTGTGTCCCCAAAAGAAAAAAATCCATTAAAGTTAAGTCGGGGCTGTTGGCTGTCCAATCCGCCATCCCCTATCCAACCCCTGGAATATTCCATGTTAAGAAAATTTTTAAGTTGTCCAACATTGTGTGGTGGGGCACCGTCTTCTATATGTTGTTCTATTTGATGCTTTATGACTTGCAAATAATGATCTCCAGTTAACTTTTGAGCTATGAATATCGGACCCAAAATATGACAATCTATGCCACCACACCATACAATAATTGATTGGTACTCCTGGGTTTTTATTGAGTGTATTTGTCTAGGATTATTTAAAAACCAATGTCGCGAATTTTGTCTATTACAACGCTTTCTTGTAGTGAACGAATTTTCATCAGTCTATAAAATGTTTTTCAAAAAATTGTTATTCTCATTATATCTATTTAAAAAAACTGCAAAAGCTGAATTCGAAATTTCGATGTGTGGATTGATCCACGAGAAATACCACATTCTCTAGTAAAAGAGGAAACTGGTTGTCCTTCATTGAATCCTAATTGGCTTCATTATTTAAAATATTATAATTCCGGCATAACTTTATAGCATTTAGTACGTTACCGTTTTCTGCAAATTTCTTTGCCAGCCTTGGAAATATCTGAGATATCTGGATAAAATCTAATATACTGACGACGAGCTGCTGTTGCACTTTTATTATTCGGAAAGTATGCTTGTAGCATATCACGATTGCCTTCACGGATGCCAAATTCGCAAAAAAACATTTTAACACTAACGATTTGGACAATAATTAAAGCATAAACGTTGTGCACTAATACGTCAACCATAGACATATTTTTATTTGTCAGTCAGGGCACTCTTTGAAATTTCCCCTTTTTGCCGATTTGTCAAAAACGATTGCAATTAAATATAAAGTGTGTTACATCATTGTATTCGGAATAAGATATTCTATTAAACCCATATATAATATACAGGGTGTTCCATTTAAACAAATATGATGTAGGCTTATATGTGAGAAAATTGATAGTGTTTTGTTTTATACGTGATTTGAAAAAAACCTGCCTACTAACCCTACATTTTGATTTTTTGAATACATTGATATCTCCAAGAATAAAAAAGTTACAGCTAATTAAAATGTTTTTAAGATAAATCGAACGCACGGTACATAACCTTGAAACTTTAAATCAGAAATCTCAAAACCACAACTTAAAACTTAAACCAAGTAAATCATGGGTTATGGTGTTTGGGAATTATGAGCAAATTTAGTTTTGCAAGTTAATAATAAACATATTTTTATGTAAACAAATGAAACGAAGTTTGTGCGAATCCTCGGTCCTCTCTAATTTCAATTACTGCGATTTTGCCTATGGTTTTTGTTTCGATCAGGAAAGTAAGAAGCGTGTCCAGATAGTACAGAATGCTATGGTTTGAGGAAATTTGATCCCAACATTTCTCTACATTTTTGTATAATGTAATCAATAATCCTAAATCGTCAGTTTCCATAAAAAACCATTACATGATTTCACAATAAAATATAACAAATATTTTTTAAATATCTATAAATAATAGAATAAGCATAAATAAACATAAATATCAATGCAACCAACACTATCAATGCTCACCAGACATATTTTCGCTTTGTGTTTCTTTTTCAACATAGGTAATGTGGCATTGTTAAACAAATATATAAAATCAACAAGTAAGCTACACATGTTAGAGCAGAAAAAAGGAACAACAGAGATTTAAACATTTTACTGCATATGGAGGAAAGCAAAATGATTAGTTCGAGGATTCTGACGTGGTATAATGACGCTTCCCTTACGCTAGGTCGGTGTGTAATTAGGTAGTAGAAAAAGACGTTTGTAAATCAATATTATTCATTTAATATATATTTTCTGTAATTAGCTTGTCAGTAAATATTTTGTATTTCTGTGTTTTTATTGTCCCTGTATAAAACCTTCTGAAGAGGATGTTGAAAAAATTACACATATTGGGTTATTTTTAACGGAATTGATAAATATTTGTCTTTTTCATATAAAAAATTCAAATTATTCTTTTTTACTTAGCGTGTATTGATAAAATATGTATACACAGAAGGGTTAAGTGTATTTTTTTTTGAAAATTTACTTGTAATATGTTTATAAGGTTCTAAAAATAAAAAACAAAAAATATATTTTTAAACAATTCCAAACTTGAAAAACAAGTAAAATATTTTTCATGTAGAAATGCCATGGTACATTTTTTGACAATTTGGAAGGAGTCAATATTGGAAAACACAAAATAGAAAATAAAAAAAGGAAAATTAGGAATAAGCGAAGGCGAGTTTCTGTTGATAATTTTTATAATTTTTAATTTTTCATTGCAGATACTTCCTACAAAGGATCATGGAGCAGTCACGCAGCCTCGCAGTCCCAAGGTAACGCGAGCTTGAAAAAAAAGTATGGCCCATGAGGGGATCGAACCCGCGACCTTCGCGTTATTAGCACGACGCTCTAACCAACTGAGCTAATGGGCCAACACTAATTGTAGTTTATCGCGTTTGTTGCGCTATTACGTCCGACTTAACACGTCGAAAATTTTAAAAGAGCACTAACACGCGAAATAACAACACCTTGGAATAATTTTTTACCCTTATTTAAAAATCCAAAAGAAAAAAATTACTGGGCTCGTCCGGGATTTGAACCCGGGACCTCCCGCACCCTAAGCGGAAATCATACCCCTAGACCAACGAGCCACCTGAAGAAATCGATAGTCAAACCGCATTTCAGTGCTCCGAAATTCTTTATTAAAACAAAAACAAAAGCGATTTGTCGTTTTATCGCCTCGTTCGTTTCGCGTCGATTTTCCGTCGGTTATTTTTACATTTTCCTCCACCGCGCCGGGATTTTTCATTTCCTCCGGCCCACCCCGCCCCCATTACTGCCCTAATGGAATTTTCGATTGATTGCGTCCCGCGCGTCGCTCTTTTTTTTGTGCCCCTTCGTCCGAATCTGGTATCGATTATCGGAAATCTCGAGGCTCGTCGAAAACAAAAGCCGATTGACGCCCGACGTCACGTCACAGTTTGTAATCGTTTTTTCCGCAACCGGAAAGACGCCACCCCCCACCCCCGCCTCCCGCGCTACCCACCGACCGGTCGTTGTTTTCGACGCGCAAATCCAATTGTTATTCCGTCGCAGAGGACTTGATTTGTAACGCGATTTCGATCAAAGAGGGCCCGGGTTTGCCCGAGGCACGCTTGATTTCGCTTTGATGTTCTTCCATTGTCGCTCCTGATTGTCAGATTTGAGACGCACAAAGGTGCTAATAGAAGACCTTCAATTTTGGACCCGTTAAGCCTTATACGGGGCGATATAAACATAAAAACCGGAATTTTATACAGGAAAAAGAAAATGCTGCAAATATTTAAAGGTCGAAGTAAATAACCCGTAAATTTCAACCTCCTATGATTATAAATAACCGAGACATGAAACCACAAAAATCGAGCATTGAATTTGAAGCCCCGTTTTCAAAAATCAATTGCCCCGAAACCACTTCTCTCTCTAAAAACCGCAAGTTCATCTCGAATATATCATTTGCATTTAAACTCACAACTATTGACTCAATTAAAGCCATATTACCGCGCCATATTATAATATATTATTATATTATTAATTGCTGTTTGGAAGTTTTGGTGACAGTGGTAAATGTACGAACTTATGATTATGTTATTTCTAATCATATTGTCACTAACAGTCAACCTGGATTTCGTAAAGGTTTTAGTACTATTAGTCTACTTTTACACATTAACGATAACATTATTAGTTCTTTAGATAACGGTGCTCGCACTTATATCTTTAGATTTGATTATATTATGATCAAGCAAAAAAAAATTGTCACTTTCTTTTGGTTAATGTTTTAAGTTAACACTGAATTCCGGGTTAGTAACTTTTGCCTTTAGCGGATCATTTTTTTACAGTAATTTTTACAATAAAAAGCACCAATTTATATTATTATTATTATTATTATCGTATGGCAATAACACAGTCTAGTTTTAAATGTTAATGTTTACAAAGGTTAAATCTTAATATCTAGGTTTTCAATCCAAACAACAGCCGATGGAGTGGCCCTCAAGAAGTCTGTTGTCGTACACTGGCTCTGTCTTTTTTCGCACCCGTATGCTAGGTGGCGGATGGTTTGTCGCCTTCCACAGTCGCAGCAGTTGGTTTCTGATTTGCCCCATTTGTGCAGAGAGTCCGCACAAACACCGCATTCTGTACGGATCCGATTTAGGGAGCACCAGGTTCCTCTCGGTAGTGTAGAACCTGGAACAGTTTGGTTAACGTGGAAAACGCTGCAGATATCTGGAGGAACGCAATTTTGCCACATCTGAGCCCATTCGTCTTGTAGGTGGAAGTTATTGGATATAAGCGCTGCCGCTGTTTGAATTGGAGGTTTTCTGGAGCGGATCCTGTGCCCTAGTTGAGCGATATCTTCATGGATTTGGAGTTGGGGATTGTTTTGTATTTTTCTAAATTCTCTGCAGAGAGCTTCCGATCGCCGGAGATGGGCTGGTGGAATGTTGCAGAGCGCGGGGAGCCAATACGTGGGTGTGGATTTGATGGTTCCACTGATCATTCTAAGTGAGTTGTGGATTTGGACATCCACTAGTTTTGAGTGGGGGCTATTCGTCCAGACAGGAGCGCAGTATTCGGCCGAGGAGTAAACAAGGCCAAGAACGGAACATCGGAGCGTTTCGGCTGAGGCACCCCAGCTGGTGCCACACAGTTTGGATATTATGTTGTTTCTTGTCTTAAGTTTGGCGGCTACGTTGCTTAAATGTTTTTTAAAGGACAGCGTACGGTCTAAGGTGACGCCCAGGTATTTCGGGTGCTTGTTTTGTTTTAGTTGGGTTCCGTTAAATTCGACGTCCAGTTCTGTGTTCGCCAACTTGTTAAGGTGGAAACAAGAAGTCTCAGTTTTGGTCACACTCGGTTTCCATCTCCATTTCGCAAAGAAATCATTCATGGCCATCAGATCTTCGCACAGTACATCTTCTGCAACGTGGAGGTCTGAAGCCAAGAGCCATGTCGTCGGCATAGTTAAATTTTTTAGAGCGAGTTTCAGGTAGGTCTGACACATAAAGGTTAAATAGCAGAGGGGCAAGGGCGGACCCCTGCGGTAAACCATTATTTAGTACTCTCTTTTTACTTGATTGATCATTCAAATGCACTTGGAATGACTTGTAGTTGCTTTGCATCTGGTGATGTTCAGAAGTTTGTATACAAGACCCTGGCGCCAGACCGTATCATAAGCCGCGGTAAATCTATGAAAACGAATGCCGATTTCTCCTGATTTTGGAAACCAGCTTCTATGAAGGTTGTAAGGCTGAGGACTTGATCGCAGCAGCTTCGGTTTTTTCTGAATCCCGCCTGCTCTATTGGGATATGCAGCATGATTATGTCGGATATGCGGTTGTATATAAGTTTTTCCAGTAGTTTATAGCAGGAACTGAGTAATGCGATGGGTCTATAGCTCTCGGGTCTGTCTTTATCTTTACCAGGCTTGAGCAATGAGATTATTTTTGAGTTTTTTAGTTTTGGTGGTATATAGCCATCTCAGAGTAGAACTTAGCCAGCCAAGCCTTTGTTACAGATCCACTATAGGACAAGAACTCTACATGCAACCCATCATAGCCGGGCGCTTTACCTGTTTTCATTTCCTTTATAGCGTTTTCAATCTCCTCTGTTGAGAAGGGTTTAGCGAAATCGGATTCTCTTGTGATGTTCTTTTTTAGCTGGGATAGCTCTTTTCAAATTTTGGTTGTGTGACTTTTGTCGTTGGGCGCTCTGGAAGTTGAAACAATATGGTCCGCTCTCTGATCTGCGGATACCGCGGGGTCGTTTCTCACAGGTGGAGAACCTGATCCGAGTTTTCTTATGAGGCTCCAGGCTTTTCGGCTAGAGTGTTTGAAGTCCACATTGGCGACGGTTTGGGACCATTTATCACGTCTAGCGTTGTCAAGGCTCTGCAGTATTTCGTCAGCGAGATCAGGGTCTCCGGTGTTGAGATATTCCTCATATAAGGATTGACTGTCCTCATGCCAGCCGGGAATGTACTCTTTTCTATATCCTCGAGGGATGGACTTTTTTGCGGCGGCGATCACCGCTCCACAGAATCTGTCATAATTTTTGGGCTTAGCCGGGATCCAGTGCAGAGTTCTATCCAGGATGTGTTGGAATTTTCCCCAGTCCGCTTTATTGAAATTCCATCTTGGCTTTGGTGTTGAATTTATAAGTGGGATTTGGACTCCTACTGTCACCAGAACAGGCCTATGTTGGCTATGGGGAAATCATGACAGCGCTTTCCTTTCTGTTGCTAGGGGGGTGTTGTCTAGTTGTCTGGTGACAAAGCAAAGATCAGGGTTAGAGTCTCTGTTCCAGGCGGCGGATCTAAATGTCCCTGGCTGCTTGGCATCGTGAACTAGGTAGAGATTACTGATCTCCGCCCAGCTGGTTAATTCGGTACCAGCAACGTCTTCATTAAGGTAGCCCCAGGCAGTGCTGTGGCTGTTGAAGTAACCAATATAGACCGTGGTGCGAGTTTCCATTGGTAAAGCTGCTTCCGCCCAGGTCATACCAGGCGGCTTCTGCACATTGACTATCGAGAGAAGGCCGATCTTGACGGTTATTATGTAGACACTGTTCGTGCACTTGGATGATACTAAGAATGCATTTTTTATAGTGCTCCTGACGTATGTGGCTGAGCCATGGGCATGATGGAAAAGAGATGCAAGTGCGGTATAACCAGGGATACTACCTCTTTTTTGAAATTCTTCTTCGCTGTTTGTGTGGGTTTCCTGTAGGGTCACAACATCGATGTCATTTTCGGTCAGCAGTTTAGATAGGTATTCACATTTGGCTCTGCTTATACCCTCTATATTTAGCTGGCAAATACGGACTGACGGTCCGATAATTCTAGTCTTGGGGCTCTGAGAAGAGCTGTTTCGAATCTGATTTGGAATAGCTTGCGAGGTCATCCTCACTAGTAGAACAGTAGAAATGTAGAAACAGTAGAAACATGTGTTTAAGGGACAGGATATAGATACAAATTGTCTGACCGCCAGCTGTGTTAGCTCTTTAGCGTTACCCAGGGTGCACCACGAGGAGGCGAGCTAACGTTGCACCCCACCAATTTATAAAAAAAAAACCTTCTTACTGGAGCGCAAATGTCAAATGTCAATTATGCAATCGTAACTTCGGTATTCCGTGGTTGGTTATTTATTTGTTTCTGAATGACTGGTAATTAGATTTTCACGAATATCTTTATGAAATCTGGATTTTTAACAATACGTTGTTGGTCATTAAATTTTGCCACTTTTTTTCTTGTCTGCAACTGTATATATAACATAATTTTGCAAAAGCATCGGTGCCCGGC